GAGTGTATAGACAGGTGGAAGATGGATAGAGGATGAATAGATGGAGGATGGATGGACGTGTGAGTATTGGTAGAGACTGCTCATTCGTTTCCCAGCTGTCCAGAAATAATCGCTGTCCAGAAATCTGTATTGTTTGCAATACTGTTTGGCCAATAGCTTAAGCATATTGCTAACTAGCTCTTATATCTTTCCTTAACCCATTTCTATTAATCTGTGTATCGCCAGGTGGTTATGGCTTACTGGCAAGGTTCCAGTGCATCTGTCTGCAGCAGTGCTCCATGGCTTCTCACTGACTCCGCCTTCTTTCTCCCAGCATTCAGTTTAGTTTTCCCACCTAGCTCTGCTCTGCCCTATCACAGACCAAAGCAGTTTCTTTATTCATTAACCAATAAAAAAAAATATACAGAGGGACTCCCCACACCAAGTGGATAGATGTGTGCATAGATGGACAGATGGCTGAGGGATGGAGGATATCTGGATGGATGGTAGACAAGGTTAGAGAGAAGGGTAAAGGATGGATGTGTGGATGGTTGGGTAGTTGGTTGAATGTGTAAATGATGGATAGATTGATTCATTAATTGCTTGCTGTGTGCCAGATGTTTCTGTGAATTAGCTAATTGAATTCTGTGTCATTGTGTTCTATCATGCAGTTTATAATTTACAATCAAGGAAGTTGGTCTCAGATATCCACCTGAGGTATTCCTAAGGTCAGACTACAAGAGGAAAGTGATAGAGGTGGGTCCCGGTGTAGGTTGATTGGGGGGTTGGCAACCAGGCTCCCCAGGTCTGCCCCTCAGCTCCATCACTAGGGAGCTGTAAAGTCTTAGTGAGTCAATTTGATCTTTCAACCTTCAGTTTACAGTTACTCCCATATGAGGAAAATCATATGTTCCTCAGAAGAATTTTGTGAGTATTAAATGATGGTTTTTATGATTCCATTTTTTTCCATAGGACATTTGGTGGGAAAAGAAAGCAGGAGAAGAGGAAATTGGTGAGTGGTAGGAGACTGAGACAGACCCCATGTGGGTCACAGATATGCTCTGAGGGGCTAAGGCATGTGCAGTGATATTTCATTTGAATTTTAATAGCAAAGTTTGCCTGAAGATCAGAGAGTAAAACAGCCACACTGATCAGCCATAGAGACCAGGCAGTGGTGACATACACCTTTAATGCCAGTAGCCACACTAGTTTGCCATAGAAACTGGGCAATAATAGTGGACACTTTTAATCCCAGAACTAGAGAGGAATATAAGATGGGAGGAGACAGGTTTCAGACACAATCTCAATAGGAGATTCCTGGAGGCAGGATCGCCATTTCAGACTGAGATAGAGGTAAGAGCCAATGGCTTTCTGTTTTGCTTTTCTGACCTTCAGGTTGAACCCCAATATCTGTCTCTGGGTCTTTAATAATCATGCTACAGACATGGAGTAAGGGGAAGACATTGGTAGCCTGGCCAGTGTACTGGCCCTGACCTATTGTCTAAGGCAGCCTGGGTGAAGAGCAGGGTGGCCTTCTTATGTGAGGCCCCATCCAGGCGCTTATGCATTGTGCTGGGTCTTTTATCCTTTCAGAGAACAATAGCAGAGAACTGGTGTCACCCAGCAGGACTGTGGCATCCTGTCTTAGGTTCTACTGGGTTTGTGGGGGCGGGGAAAGCTAGATCCGAGAGCATTGCAAAGTTAGGGAGGAGATGGGGACCAAGTCTGTTGGCAGGAGCTTCGGCAGTCAGCGGTGTGTTCCGTCCTCTGCCACACACCCACGGCACGTGACAGTAAAGAGGCTGACTGAAGTTCTCATGAGTAAATGGGAAAAGCTTGTCTTCCAACTCCATGGCCTTCTCGAGAAGGCGGACAAAAGAGTCAACAACACCAGGATGGTCAAGTGTGATGGGGAGGATCCGGGAGTTCAGAGGACTTTCAGGACTGTTTTGCATGAGACTCCAAAACCAACAGAACCCCAGCAGCAGCAGCAACACTGAGCCCTGGTGTGGATTGCAGGTCTGGAAGTGTGAACAGACATACGCTAGGGTGAGAGATGTTGGCATGAGGCTTGCTGTATGTGGGTATCCTGGCATCTGGGGAACCCTGGACTTCCTGCTTCATGTTCCTGTGAAGGAGAAAGCCTCGCTTATTCTTAACCCTGACATGCATTAAATAAAGGCTGAGCATGAATCCTCAGTTCTGGTGACCAGGGACTGAGACTGGGGACAATTCTTGGTACAGGATTCTCCAGTGGTCACTTCAGATCATCACTTCTTGCTTTAGAGATGGTGACACTGTAGCCCAGAGAAGGATCAGAAGAGCCTTTGGGCTTCTGGCCTCCAACTCAGGACTCTACTGTGTCCTCTGTAGTCTCAGAACAGAGTCTCCCCTGCCCAGGTATCATGGCCTGGAGAGGGGTGATCCAGCCATGACCCAGCAGAGCTGGCCCAGGTCAGGGGCTAGAGAGGCCCTGGAACAGAAGGCGTTTAAGGTGAAGGAAGGGGAGGTCTGGGTCCTGGGGGTGCCTTAAGGAGTCTGGATATGAACTGAAGCAAGAAGTCAGCCACAGTTCATGCTCTCAGAAGATTCTGGCTATGGAAACACAAGACATGGGAGAAGTGAGGGCCGGAAACCATCAGATGGAGGGAGACAGGAAGTGGAGGTGTCGAAAGCTGGAAGGGCAGGATACCCTGGGTGGAAGGAAGTGTGAGCAGCAAGCCATGGAGCTATCCAGGGGAGAGAGGCCAGAGGGGACAGGACTTCCAGGTATCTATTTCTAGGATTCTCCTAGGTACTGGTTTCTGATCCGAGCCAGTGAGTGAGCCATTTCCTGTAAGGGGGTACAATGGGCTGGAGTCTGGGAGGACAAACTAGCAGAAGCAACACTTACCTAAGGAGCTCACCCCCTGCCCATGGTCTCCATCAGTTTCCAGGAAGCTGCCTTGTCTGAAGTCTCCTCTGGGGTCCTCATTTCAAACAGACCCCGTTCAAACTTTATTTTTATTTTATTTTTATTTATTTTTTTATTTCGCTTATGAGACACTCAAATTTAAGTGGAGGCCCTGTATTGCATCTAGTGACCTGATTGAGGGAACGTTAGTAAAAGGGTTGGGATAGAACAGAAGTCCCTTGTCCTGGTAGCCATAGAGCCAAGGAATAATGAATGGACAATGGAGCTGGAAGCTGGCACAGCAAGCCCTGGATTCCTCCGCTTTCATGTGCCATGGGTGATCACTGGAGGATGAAGAGCCAGGGGCTCTTGCTCTGTTTATGCTCCATGAAGACTGTTCTGGCTATCAGGGTAGAGAAAAGAACTGTTGGGGGGGGGTGTTCAGGAGTCCCTGAGTGGGTAACTCTCTGTGATGGACAGGGTGATGGTGAGGCCAACATGCACTGTGTTTACAGACATCAGGCGAGGATAGGGGACTGTTCCAGAAAACCTGGAGTAGAGAGAGAGGACCAACAAGCCCAAAACCCTATCCATGGTGCATGTCCAGAGGCTAGGCCTTCGAGGCCCTGCTACCCAGGAAAAAGACAAGTTCTTCCAGGAAACTGCTGTCCCCCACACACTGCAGAGAGCTTTTTCTAGAGACTTTCCACTCCTGGAGTAAAAGGGAGAGACTAGGCGCTGGAGATGCCGCTGCCCAAGGAGGCCGCTTTGCAACACCCGGAGGCCCTGAAGCATTGACTTGCATTGACTACTGTGGTCCTGCGTGGGGGGAGGGGGCTTTGTTTGACTGAAGCCTGCTTCTTCAGGTTCCATTCTTTTTCGACAAAGAGGAAGTACCGCAGAAGGCCCAAAGCCTCAGCGACTCGCCTCCAACTCATTTCGCAGTCCAATTATCTAAATTATTGCTTTGCCCTGGCACAAAAGGAGGAGGCGCGATTTAAAAGTCGCCGGGAGATAAGTGCTCAGTCGCCTCCCCTGTCAACAATGCATAATAATTTTGATCAGGCTCTCATCGTGTTGTGATAGCAGCCACAATGGCTGCGACCAGGTCTCCAGGGACTTTTATTTTTAGCTCCAAAATCACAAAGGGGGAACCAGGAGGAGACTTCACATAAGGCGGACTGGGCTATTGAATGCTGCCCCTGCAAGGCCAACCAAAAATTGGGTTTGGCTTCCAGAGACCAGAGAGCTAACGGGGAGCAAGAGTGGGAGGTTCCCAGGGCTGAAGTAGCGGGCAACCTACTGGAAAGGGCCTCACACTGTCTTGTGCGGAATAAGGATCGCTCCTGGAGATGGTCAGAAAGAGAGAAGGGGGCATGTGGCTACTGTCCCGGGGACATTTATTTCCAGCTGAGCAGCCCAAGCCTGCAAGAGAGAGAAGGAAAGCTAACTGTCTGAGGTGAGAGGACCTCTGGGAGGAGGCAGCTGCTGTTGTGAGCCCCGGAAAAGCTTTGATGATCACAGATAAAGTGGGTAAGGGGGAAGAGTGTTCCAGGTGGGTGTAACTGTGAATATTAAGGCCTGCATAGGCAAACAGAATGGAGGAGTGGGCCTGGTCTGGAAGGGAGAGGAGATGAATGAAAGTGCCGGTCTGTATGTAGGAGAAGGTTATTCAACTGCTCATGGTAGCAAGGGGCTGAGGGAAGCCTGTGAGTCTGTGAAGGATCAGCTGATGCTGATGTTGGATCAAGGACATCATTTCCAAGGTGGTGTGCCGACCTGTGGCTGAGGAGCCGTAGAGGTCAGAGGAGCTGATTGACCTTCCTCTCTACAGCCTGGGGTCCTCCCTTAGAGGGAGAATGGCCCTCAGACTCAGCCAGAGCAGGCTGCCCTGAAAGCACACCGGGAAACTCACAAAATGGCATGCAAGGCTGAGGCCGGGTAGAAAATTTAAGAGCCAAATCTCAGTCTGGAGTGGTCCCTGATGCTCCTGACAACATGCAGTGTGATCCTGATGTGGCTTGCTTGGGCTGCCTCCTGAGTGGTGATGTTTTTTGTATCTTGGTGTCCCAGGATACTAACTTGGGTGGGGTCCAAGCTTGTGTCATAGTTACAGGGGGTGGGGAGCTGGAAAGTGGCCCTGGCTTTCTTACTGTGTTATAGAGAGACACAGAAAGGGACTACAAGCTGACAGCTGGAGATTCTGACAGAGGTGGGCCACACTTTTATTCTCTCTCTCTCTCTCTTTCGTGCATATGTATATGTGTGCCTGCACTTTTGTGCATCATTCCTCAGGTGTTGCCACCTTGTTTTTAGAGACAGGTCTCTCACTGACCTGGAGTTCATTGAGTAGACTAGGGTGGCTAGCCAGGGAACCCCAGGGATCTGCCTGCCCCTCCCCCCACCTCTCCAGCACTGGTACTTATTGGAAGGGCGCCATTTTGGATGTTTAGCCAGACTACATGGTTGAATTCACTTTCCCACTTCTCCAGCTGCCACTTTCCCAAGCAGGGCTTTCGTCTGACTTGTTTAATCCCAGGGGTATGACTGGTGCCCCAAATCAGGTCTGGCCACCCTTCCTCAACAAACCCACTAAAAGAGTTGAATTCAATGCAGAAAGCAGAAAATGGAGATGTGTTCAATATGCCCACGTTGGGAAGAGGGACAAAGAAATTCAGTGAACACTCCAAGTCTGTCTTTGGTGTTCTTAAATGAGATTGACGCTTAAATGGAAGGCCCAAAATTGCCTCACACACCCCACCCCACCCCCATTGACCCAGCCTTGCCTGGGCTTCAGTCTCATTCTGTAAGGTGGTTTGACAAGTTGTTAGAACCGCGTGAAATCCCTTTAAGGGAGACAACAACTCCCCCCGCCCACACCATGGTGCCCTTTTCTTCTCCCAGGGTGAGATTCCTGGGGCAAGTGCCCATTTCTTTGAGGTCCATTTTTTTAATAGTCATCAGACGGTCAGTCAGACTGAGAGACTCAGGAGTCTCTTTAAAACATCTTCATTTCTGCCAGGCCAGTTGTAATGGCTTTGCAAGTCCTGTCACCTCCACTGACAAATGTGCCTCATAGGGCAAATTAGGCCTAATGTTGCAGATAAGAGAGGCTGAACACGGAGGTGGCTCCTGGCTGGCTCTTGATGGAGGTCCAGTGCCAGTGGGAAAAACTTGTCTCCCTTGAGAGAGTGGACCAGGAAAGAACCAATGAAGGACACGCTGAGGACCTTGGTCATGACCTGGTACCTTGGCACCTTTCATGGCCCCTGCTCTAGAAGGACTCGGGACTGGGGAACATGTGTTGCAGATCTTCTGGGCAGAGACTGCGGGCATGCAGTTCAGATGGTACCTGAGCTTCAAGAGCTTCAAGAGGCCTAGGGACAGCTTCCTGCTCTCACACTGTGTATCTCGACTTACTCACCAGGCACAGGGATGAGGCCATGATTGCAGCCCACTGAGGTAGACAATGGCTCTGTGACTTGTTTAGTGTGGGGACTGGGACATGTCTACATCATTTCTGTCTCTTTTGTGCATATGGATAGGAGAGTTGTTCTTGGCCACAGGCATTCTGAGCTTACAGGGAGTGCAATGGACCAGATTGCAGCCACAACTGCCTCTACCCCAACCTACAACTTCAAGAGGAGCCCAGTGCCAACCAATAGCACTCGGGCTCATACGAGAGGCCAGCATTGACAGGCCAGCATCTTTATTCCTGATGCTCTGCAGGCCATAGCACTGTGTCCTTGAGTTGTGTTGCTGAGTCTCAGGGATCTTGCAAGAAGAGGTGAATGGCCGCATCCTCCTAATGGCCTCAGGTGTTTTTGTGGGTGATCTGCCTCTATAATCACCAGTGTTGGGAGAGGGCAGGCAGAATTCATGAGCTAGACTAATAAGGGGTAGGAGCCTTGTATATATGGTCAGACCTCAAAGTGCCAATCAGGAAGTAGTTAGCATGTGGACTCAGAAGGACTCTGCCTCCATCTCTACTGAGTCCCCAGCCTCTCCTCTTTGTCAGAAAGGAGTATCTGTCCTTCCTCTACTCCAAAGGCGCCATGAGATACCAGGGAAAGGAGACATCGAAAGTGATCAAAGGAGTCCCTGCTGTCATTGCTGTCATCCTAATCTCTGTAAGTCTAGGGGGTAAATTTTAAGGACCACCCAGGCTTATAGCCCATGATGAATGTAACTGGGATGTATATACTTACATAATGAACCCCATTCAAAAGTAAATGATAGTGGTAACCCCATTAGAAGTAGATGACAAATTGGAGCTGGCTACACCATAGCAAAAGCCCGAGTGCACATCTGCCTGCCCTCAACCTCAACTGCACATACAAGTCAGTGTTCACAACCACAAAGTCCTGGCCCTCTGGGTGTCCAGAACTGAGGCCTGAGATACTTGGCCACTGGATGTGATAGGGATAGAACAGCATCCTATGTCACCTCAGAGACGGAGTGCTAAATCTATTGAGAACAGCTGGACTGCAGAGGAAATCCAGGCTTTGCTGTCTCGGGGTGTGTCTGTGACTTAGCCGTGTGCCTAAGCATGTGTGCTTTCCCACCAGGTCTGTGTAACTGTGAGCATCATGACAGAGGTCCACTAAACACAGGATGCAGCTCGTTATACCAAGGGCATGGGTCATGCCCAAACCTTCCATGATTTGAGGTCCCTCTAACATTTGCCATGGCCATCAAAGCGTGTCTTGACTTCAGCTCTGCCCCCGTGAGAACAAACGTGGTCATCACCAGGGGAGCAGATGCCTACCACACGTTATCGTCTGAGGGACTGAGAGGAAGACCAGTCAATCTGCTTCATGTGGTTCCCAAAGGCGGGAACAGGACCAGTGGCATGGATTATGGGGTCACAGCTACTCAGGGGAGCAAACCCTATAGCATCAAAGATGGTAGACTTGTAAACAAGACCCCAAATGCTGAAATTCGGCTCAGTGAGGCCCAAAGAACTACCCCTCCTCCATCTCTAGAGATGACCTACACTAGGGGAGGCGGGTAGACCAGCTGCCCCCAAGTCCTACTCAGCTTCAAGTCTCCCAGCTGAGCCAAGAGCTGAGTGGGGAGCTGCCCTAGGCATCCTTTGTCCTGTTCCTGGCTGGTAATTGACAGAGTGAATGGCCGCTAATGAAGAACAGAGTGGGACTTCCTGGGAGGTGTCGGAGACAGCCAGAAAGACAACTGCTAATTACCAGTGCCAGCTGGTGGCCCTGAGAGACCATGCTGACAGAAAAGATGATGGTTGAGAGGGGACCAGGCAGGAAGACGCTTCAGGAAGACGGCTTATTCTAAGGCCTCCTGCACCCAGGAACTGGCTCCATGGAGTGATGGGTGAAGAGATCAAGACCACCATCCCTGCTCTCTTTCCTGGTCAAGCCTTGCGGGGAGCTCTTTGATCACTAACATAATTCTAGTGTCCTTCAACTGTCCTTGGCTGTTAGGCTGAGCCAGCTTTCTCTCCCTCCCAGACTCCAGCACTGAGTTCCCTTCCTGTTGTTCATCCCTGCCCCTGACTCTGTCTACACCATTGGCATCTTGCTTCAGTAACTCCTGGATCAAGCTGTGGGTAGCAGCAGCCCAATCCCTCACTGGCCCTGGGTAAGTGAAGCAGGATACCAGGAGCTTGCTGGTGATCCCCGCTTACAGCTCCATGAAGGGAATGGGACAGTGATCATGTTGAAGAGGGAGCTCTAAGTGAGGTAGATCGGCAACGTGGCCCGTCAGTCATTAGGGCAAGCTATCTCTCTGCCGGCCACTGGAGTGTCTGGTAGCTGCCTTCTTTGGTGTCCCTGCCTCTTAATTCTTCCTCAGTTCTTCCTTCTTCTAGTCTGGAGCTGTCTCTCTCTGCGTGGAGTAGGTCTCAGTTTCTCTTACACCTGGGGCCCCTGAGCCTCACCTGCCCTCCCTCAGATCCACTGTCCCCTCATGGGTCCCTCTCCCTAACCTCTGGGCCACACTCTGGGTCTTGATCCTTGAGGGCCAAGGGCCCTGCTGGGTTGGAATTCTGATTATATGCACCTGCCCTATATAATTCTGATTATATACAGCCTGCATCTGTCCTGAGAGGCTCAGCACCTCCTTCCCCTCCTCTCTCTGTCCTCCCCTTCATTTGGGCCCTGCCACCGACAGGCATGTGCTGCTCTAGGGCAGGGAAGACTTCAGGGGCCAGACTGACTCCTCTGCATCTCAACTGTCCCTTTCCCTTAGAGGTGCTGAAATCCTCAGCTGAGATGGTAGCAGGAGAGCCCCGAGCACACCTCCCTTCCCCCTGTATTGTCTGCCAGAGTCATAGAAACTGCCAGTTGGCGGCTTCAATGGTTGGCAATGCTGGAAGCCTTAAGGCTACAGCCCATGTATGGGCAGCTGGAGCCTCCTTCAGGTTCCAAGGGAGGCAGTTCTGGCACTCCCTGGCATCTTGGCCATCTTGTTCTCTCTTCATACAAACTTCTTGCCTGTGTCTCTGTTTTGTTTTGTTTTTTGTTTTTCAACTCCAGAGTTTTTGTAGCTTTGGAGTCTGTCCTGGAACTCACTCTGTAGTCTAGGCTGGCCTCGAACTCACAGAGATCTACCTGACTCTGCCTCCCAAGTACTAGGATTAAGGGCATGTGCCACACCACCTGGCTTCTGTCTTTCTTTTTTATAGGACACTAGCCATTGTGTTAAGGACTCCTTAACCCAGTGTGGCTTTACTTTGGCTAATCTCACAGCCTCTCTCCCACACAAATTGTGTTCTGAGGACCTGGATGCTGAAAGATGCATGCAGACTAGTATACCCTGATGGCCCTGCTTCACTTCTCTGAATCTCAAAAGAGGCAAGGAACATTCTTAAAGAAGAAATGGGAAATAGCTTCTCCCCCTTTCCCCTAGATCTTGCCCTGTGACATGTACCAAGGCCCTGTGACCTGAGCCACTTTCTCCCAGAGCCCCACGGCTAGGTAGATGCTCAGCTTACAGAGGAAGCAATGTTCCCTAGCTTAGTTCCCTAGGGCCTAAGCTTCCGTGACAATGGAACTTCTCCCTCCCTGCAGAGAGGAGAATGGTACAGAATCAAAGGCCCTGAAGCCAGCATGTTGTATGTGTCAGGCACTTTTCCCCATGAGCATGAGCAGGCCTCTGATCCCAGAGAGATATTACCCACACGTGTCTACACACACGCACACACGGTGTTCTGTGTAGCCCTGCACAGAGTTTTCCTGCTTTGCCTCAGAGGAAGCTGAAGACCGAGGCAAGGCAATGAGATGGGGAATCATGCTTCTCGGGCAATTACCCACACCTCGTATAGTCTAATGAGCCGTTGAGGGGCCCCGGATGGAACATTTAGGGGGGTTATTGAATGTTTCCTCACAGTTTACCCAGTTGCAGGAATTAATTGATTTATGGACTGGAAGAGCATGTGTGTCTCTGAGCAAGGGTGGGTGCCTTTATAAATGTGGCTTTCTCTCTGTGTGAACTTGCGACAGCCTGGTTACAGGCCTGGGCTCCCTGGCCTTGGCATCTGGGCTCCACAGCTGTCTGCACTTGGTAATGAGAGGCCACTGAAGGTGTGACTGCACACCAAGGGACAGGTCTGCAGCTATAAATGATCTTGGTACCTGGATTTCCCTTGCCTTTCCCCAAATTCAATTAAATCCCATCCACTCAAGAGTTGTGCTATACGCCACACCCTGTTTTTAACTAAATTTACAAGGTTTTTTTTTCATTGCTTGAAAACTACCACAAAATAATATTGTGGAATTGTAAGTTTGATATATGATTGCTGCTTTCTTTTTACTTTCTTTCTGTTCTTTCTCTGTTCACCATACAGACCCCAAGGATGGAATTTAGGCCTTCAGTCCTCAGAGCGAGTCCTTTATCAGCTGAACTGTGGCTGTCGACAAACCTGTGATTCCCCTGCCTTCCTTGACCAATGGCGGCCATTACACCTGGCTGCTACATTTTCTCAATGCATGTTAAAATAATCCTGCAACTGGTCACTGCAAAGTGTTCTTGTAACCTATGGATCCGTAACATGATGTTGCCTCCTAGCAGAGTCCTGAGATTTTGGAGACGAGAGCAATGGGGTGCAGGGAAGGAAACCGCTTGCGGAAGTCACATCTGTGACCTCGGAGTGAAACACAGGCAGGTGGCAGGCTCACTCTGGGTGGTGGAAAACCAGGCCAGCCAAGTGTCCCCTTTGTCTCTATCTTATCATCCTTTTTAGAAGTATCTTTAGTTCTACCCCAGCCTGAAGCCAAGTAGCTAGGGAGAAACAACTGCCTTCTTGGGCCAACCACTCTGGTTCCTGCACTCCAGTGTGAGAGTGTATGTGAAATCACATCTGGGAAGGCTGCGGTATAGAGATGGGCCCCAAGGATGATTGGCCGGGGTAAAGAGACTCCACCCTTCATTAAATTCCTACAGACCCCATCCGTGTCAGGGAACTGCCTGCAGTGTACACACCATTCCAGCCTGTTGAGACATTGAGGCTCCACCCTGTCTTAGGAGGAGCAGGGGCAGTAGACAGAGAGGTCCTCCACTCCTCCATCTTGTCTCCTACACAGTGGTGAACAGAAGCCCTGGGGGGTTCTCATACTACCAGGACACCAGGCCCTTCAACCTGGAGCCCCATCTTGGTGGGCAGGTTTGACTCTCTACAACGGCAGGACAGCTAGGGTGTGGAATGGCTCTGGCAATACACTGCCAGCAGTCTCTCATCAGCCCCACTCTGCTACACGTTGCTGTCCACCATCTCCAAGCTTGGTTCCTCTCCTAGACGCCACTACGAGAGAAAGTGAGTCGGTCCTTCTATGTGCCAGGCTCCCAAGAGACAGTACTGCCTTGGCGACCTTGACACTGCGCTCCCGGGAGCCCCATCTGCTGCTGGACTTAGCTCTGAATGCTACCCTGGGGATAGAACGTCCTTCCCCTGGCTTGTGCCTGGTGGCCTTTCCTGAATCTCCTCAGCACCCTGGCCGGCAGTCTGAGCAGCCGCAGCTACAATGCAATTCTTGTCACTTGGTTTCCACTCTGGCTAGTTCCGTGGTCCCTGCTTTTAGCTGGCAGATTAGAGAAAGAGAGATTTGCATAGCAATAAAAAAGTAATTAAAATCACCAACACATGAAAAGCCCATTATAAGATTCCCTGGGAAAGACGCCTCCCCTGGTCAGGAAAGATACAGTGAGCGGGTGGGGGTGGCGAACCAATTAACCAAGCCTGTTAGCTGTCCATTATCAGCACTGGGTGCTGCACATGTAAATATTAATTGCGGCAGGGCCAACTTGCTAACAGCCTACTGAACTCATAAATATCCTGAGCACAATTAATGGTGACGAAGTGCGTGTGTCTCCGTAGTGGGGCTTGGTGAAGCACCCGGGGATGACTCCGAGCAGGAAGCTGCCTGCTGCTGCCACAAATCTGTCCCCCTGTTCATCCGTTTCAGACGTGACCATGCTTCTCTCAAGTATCTGATTGCACTCCGAGGCCTGAATTATGATGTTTCAGTTTATACGGCCACTTAGAAAGAACGCCTAGGCATCCGTGTGCCTCGGCGCCCCATCAAATTGCCCATGAATTAGAGCTGATGCTTACAGACAGCAGGAGGTTCATCTCCCGTTGGAGGGGTGGTCATTTGGAGAAGTCACTTCAAGGAATGGCACCCATCAGGCATGAACACTGAGGGGAACTCAGAAAGAGGGGTCCCCGGCTTCTTGCTGACATCATAATTCCAGGAATCTCCTAGAAGTGTGCTGGCTCCAATTCCCCTGTTATCTATCTACCCTGGAATGCAAATGGAGAGACGTGCTTTAACCTCAGTGGAGGTCCCAGTGAGGTGGCTAGGGCAGGTTATAGAGAAGATCTTCGCTTTTGCCCCAAACCTGCCCTCAGGGGCAACTGATTGACCTCTCCCATCCAAATGCCTTAAACTTCATAGACCTTGAACTTAGAGTCCTAGGACTTCCCAGAATCTAAGCTGTGCTAAGAGAACGTGATCTTGAAAGCACCCCAAGGCAGAAGCCTCCGACTCCAGCAGCTGTCACGCGATTCCTTAGTCGTTTGCCAGGTGACACAGCCCTGTGAACTGGAGGCCAGAAACACAGACTGGCCTGACAGCCCCGACATCCTGAGCAGAGCAGAAATGGGGCGTGGCCTGTGTCGTCATTCTCCCCATCCCTTCTGCACTCCGCCCACACAATATGGACATTTTAGAACAGAGAGCAAGACCTCTTCCCTCTGGAGCTTTCAGGTGTGAAAAGCAGACGGGGAAGAGTGGATCAAGTGATGGCATGTGTCAAAGACAAAGGGGACCATTGCAGAAGGTGGGTAGGTAAGGTTCCTGCTGATATGACCTTTGAATTGGGAGCTGAAGGCTGAGAGGTCTGGAAGGCATTGGGGAAGAGTCATCTCTGCCATCAGAGGGCAGCAAGGGAGAAGAAAGCCTTGGGTCTATGTCATCAGGAGGGGATATAATGCTGAGAGATTTGCGGGTTGGGGGAGTCCTAGGACTTTCTAGAAAGTTCTAAGGGCTCAGGCTACATTTTTAGAGAGGTGGAGGCCTTTGCAGAGTGTGAGCAGAGAAGGGGCATTAGCCAGTTTTCCAGCACTGGCCTGCAGCTGAATATGGAGATAAAGGGAGGGAGGTACGGAGGGAGGAGAGAGGGAGGGAGTGAGGGAAGAAAGAGAAAGGGAGAGGGAGAGAAATGAAGACAGGAGGAAGGAGAAAGAGGAAGGAGGAAGAGGGGTGAAGAGAAGCACACTAGAGAAAGTGAGAGGGTGTTAAGGAGACAGAGAGTTAGAGAGATAGGCAGAAATGGAGGGTAGAGACAAAGATAACACGAGACAGAGAGAGGAGGGGGTACCAGAGAGGGATGGAGAAACTAGAGAGAGAAAAAGAGAGAGGCAAAAATACAGAGAAGGAGACAGAGACACATGGAGAAAGGGAGAAAAAGGAAGGTGTTGAGATAGAGTTGGAGGTGGAAAGGGATAGAGAGCAGAGAGGCAAGGTGGTGTGAGCAGAGAGGACTATGGGAAGGTGAGATAGCAGCAGTGGACCTAAGGAGCCAGCAGGCAGTGGTGAGAGGTGGCCAGGCACGTTAGTCTATTCTGAAAGCTTTTCTCTTGAGTTGGATAGAGCTAGTGTGATACCAGGCGGGCAGAGTATCTCCAAGGCTTCCAACACAAGAAACCATTGAGAAGATGCATCCTTCAGTGTGATGGAGATGAGCTGGGGAGGAGATGAAGATGAGGTGCGGACTAGCTCTGTCTGGGAAGGCGGGGAACTGGACCCGGCTGTCAGGCTTGTCACATCCTTTAAACCTCTGGATGGAGTTTGGGTCCAATACTTGGATACGTGAATCGGAAGTTTAGGGGAAAAAAAATCAGACCTGGACAGTTATCCCATGAAGGAAGTGAGTTAAGCAAAAAAGCTGGCCTAGTGACAATTCCCAGGGTCTTGCAGAGGTATGGCAAGGTGAGGGGAACCAAGAGTGCAGGGTGCCCTGGGAGCAGAGGTGGTGTGGTGATTGGAATGAAAACGT